GGGAATTACTGAGTAATTCTGAGTATTCCTCGGGATTTCTGGATATTTCGGGACGTTTCGGGATATGTCGGGGGATTCTGGGATGTTTCGCGGTACTTTGGAGCGTCTCGGGGAATTTCGGGACATTTCCGATACTTCTGGGATAGTACGGCCATTTTTTAGGCTGCAGGGTTAGTTTGGGGTATTTCGGGGCATTTCGAGACATTTCTGGGAATTCTGGGAGAGTTCGAGATAATTTGGAGCGTTTTGGGTCATCTTGGGACCTTCTGGGACATTTCGAGATACTACTGGGATTCCGGAAAAATTTGGGGTTTTTGTGGGGTGCTTCTGGATACGTTGGGTCATTTTGAGGAATTACAGGACATTTTGGGATATTTCTCAGATTCCTGTGAGGTTTCGGGGTATTCTGGGGAAGTTCGGGATACTATGGACAATCTTGGGGACTCCTGGGGGTCGGGGGACTCTAGATTTCAACGAGTGACAGTAGAAAGTCGACTGCATTGCGCGTGGTAGATCTAACACAGTGGGACGGGCAATGTTCGGAATCATGAGCGGGGGGAGTTGATTCAGAGCGGTGGGTCGGGGAATTCTCAGAGACATGAGCGGGGGGATTTGATTCATTCGGGGAGTAATTTGGGGCTTTTCCATCTCTACTTCTTTGGGGCTATTTACCATTACGCCGTGTCTAATTCTATCCTTCAGCTGTCTTGGGAGTACAGTTAATAGTCCTAACAATTTAACCGAAATCTTATCTTTGACGTTTCCCTTTCGACTTGAAGGGTCTGTGGACATATTTTCTCTACAAATGGGGTTTTCTGGGGTCGTTTGAGCAGAGGATTGGTGGAGGACTGGGCGACTGATATCTGGGGTATCGGGAGGACTATTCTCGGTCTGTGGAAGGGGTTTGCTATCCTCGTGGTTAGGGGTGAATGGGTGAGTAGTGGGGCCATGGATACCAAATGAGGGTGGTTCTGGGAAGGGTTTCTTGTGGGTTGGGAGGCCAGGAGGTTGGGGCACTATTGGACGGGGTTGTTTTTGATGCGGTCCCAGGGGAATCTGGGGACATTCTGGTGAAGGAATGTTGGGGTTCTGGGGCAGTCCGGTGGGAATTTGGAGAAATTCTTGTGGGTGATTCTTGGAATTCTGGGGCAGTTTCAAGGGAATCTGGGGATATTCTTGTGGAGGGTTCTTGGAGTTTTATTTAAGAGGTCCATGAGGCCCAAGGGTGATTATCAGGATGATTAGCTCTCGATGCTTAGGGTGAAGAAGGACTGATTGAGCTGGGGCTCTCAAGGCGTGGGGATTAACGGTGCTTGGTTGAGGTTGAAATGTGTAAGCACCGAAGGGGAGGTTATTCATCTCAACTTGTTTCTCGTCACTTGCGTTCTCAGCCGGCTCAAAAAGCCATTAGGCCTCCAAAATTCCACCGGGATGGGACACCGTGAAAGATCCACCGGCCCTACGAATAACATCACAACCTACAACTGTGAAGGGTCTACTTGACGAATCAATTTCCTCATTCCAAACGGCAAAACTGGAGCCAAATTATTTCCTAACCTCGAATCTGATCAATCGGTCTCTCAAAACTTCGATGGATCCACGGGAACAGATTCTCAATGTGTCCAACATAATCATCCAATCGCGGGGGTCTAGGGCGTAAAAATTTTGTGCATGGGTAAAGTAAAACTTGGCTATTTCTGTGAGGTCCGGGACCATTGGGGGATGGGATCGAATTAATCCTGAGGGAATGCTCATCAACAACGCAGTACTGGTTGTAGTGGTCGTCGTAAGGGTGGCTGCAGCCGTAGTGACTGCTGGGTCTATTTGGGGGTCCGTGGTGATCTTGAACTATAAAAAATATTTGGACACGGGTTCACCGAAACAAAAATATGAATTTCGGGCATTACGAAAAAACCCTTTCTTACCCTAAACTATCCCTGAATATTCCTATCAAAGAAATTAATTAATTGATGAGGGGATACTGGATATGTACTACATCTAGGGGGAAACTTGTGTTTGATAGACAACGGCGAAGGGGTCTGGAGGGGGGGGGGCTGCGTGAAAATAAATCTGACTTCCGGAATATTAAAAAAAAATCGCAAGAGAATAAAGTAGTTATTAATCGAATCCGGGATTGCAAATACTGCGGTAGTACGCAGAAAATACGTAAATCCAGACCACTGGGTCACCCGGTATGTAAGGGGTATCGAGCGGCCGCTTGTATATTGGGTGGTCAAAATAAATGGGAAAAATTGGGGACACACTGTATACCGCGGGTACGGGTGAATGCGGAACCAACACATGTAGTAATAAACTGACACTGGGTGTTTGTATTAGGGACAATGTGTCACGTATTCGGGAGAACCATGGGGGGGGGGGCGACAAAAAAAAATAATTTGAAATTCCCAAATGTGAGACAAATGAAATGTGCGAAAAATAGCTCAAGAGAAATAATCAGACGTATCACAGCATTCAACGCCTGTGATGAAAATAAATCCCCAACAGTGAGCCACACAATAAGATTGAGATATAAACACTGGGGGGGGATTAGGGGGGACCTTATCGCGCTCGATGAACAGTACCTGGCACCACGTGGGGCGCCATTTGTAACCTTGGACTTTTAATATACCTAGAAAGATGCCGGGAATTAAATAGGCCAGGACAAAACAGGGATGATTAATAATAAAGAATATATTCCCTTTTCTCAATATTTACCTTGTGACCGTTTTCAATATTCTATTCAACTAATTCCTGAAAAGAGGATTAGGGCGAGTCAAGAAAAGGGACAAATAAGGGATAATTTGAGAATAATTAACTATATTTTCTCTAAATAAAATTCTGATCGTCAAAAGACGTAAATAAGGCCTTTAACTGAGATCTAGGGAAGTGGGGGAAGCCAGGCAGCTTTTGTACATATCTAAAGGGCGATTCTAGGGGATTACAAAGGGAGAGATTCTAGGTGTGTCGAGGGGAAAATAAGAAATAAAAATAGAATAATTGAATTTACTGGGGGAAAAATAACCAAGTGTGGCGCACCGTTGGGGGAATAGAATGGGATAATACTCGGGGGGCAAGGGGAAAAGGAGGGAAACAACTCGTACTCACGTCGACTTCCTGGTGCAATTCGCACGTCCAATGCTCCTCCAAATATCCTCAGAATTCTACCAGGACGGGGCCGTCCTTCCGACTCTCAACTTCCTGGGCACCCAATTCAACAGGGATGAACTCAGTGTCTCCAAGATCCTCTTTTTGACCAATTACAATAACTTCCAGGGCGATTTTCACAATTAACGGGGCTTCCTTCTTATACAATTATCTGGGCATGTGGTAACGCTCGGGGCAGCTGGGTTACGAGTGATTCATTTCTCTTCTCTTCCTTCTTCTCCTGCGTAATTCGGGGGAATTCGCAGGATCTCGAGTTCTTTCGGGTCAACTTCGAGGGGAATCGGGGCCAATCAAGGTGTTCAGATTGTGCCCACGATCACAATCCAGAGCCGTATCGGTGGTGAATTTCAAGGGCGGTGGATTATCGAGGCTTATCCATGGACGTTTCTCGGGGGCGACGGCTCCTTCACCCACTCCAGGTGGTTCGGAACTGCTAACTTCCTTCGGCGGCTGTTCGTCGTTGAATCCAGGGGCGATGGTAGAGGGGTAATGAGGAGAATATCTAGGAAAAGGGTAACCAACGGTGGCGGGATTTACGTTTTAGGGGGCTGTGTATGTTGGGGAAAAATGTATGTAAAAATAATAAAAAAATAACGAAATGTGCCTCGTCACAACCTATTGATTGATTCTACAACTCTTTGATATCTTTTGAATATGATCCAAGGGAGTCGGTAAGGCCAGGCTACTTGTCGTACATGCTCAAAAAGGGGATGGCTCTAGTATTATCATCAAAAAGGGAATAAGCTAGTCGGGGAAAAAGCTAATCCTGGGGGGCTTCCTGCGCTTCACTATTCACCTGCTCTAGTTTTAGACTCTTTATTCCTTAACTATGCAATCCTTAACTCTAATGATGCGTGCTAACACCGGGACTGTTGGGGCGAGTGTGTTCTCTTTTCCTCTCCGGACCTCTTTCGCCGTTTTTCGGCTACTCTCGTGCTTCAGATTCGCTTCTCCTCGTCAGGGTAGCATCTAGGTGGTGCGAGGGTGCGGGGAACGTCATATAGTCCGACGTCGGGAAGATTTGTCATCCTTCCCTCTATAATTCCTGTTGTTCTTTGGATCGGATAGATGTATTCCGTTTTCGTGGGGCCTCTGGGGATATCTGGGCTGTATCTTCGGGGTGGTTCGTCTCCGGATACTGCTGCTTTCTGGGTCTGCTTCGGGTTGAGGTGTGGGGAGGCAATATCGGGGGAATTTACGGTGATCAACGGGGAATATTTAAGGGAAATATCGTGTGGGGCTCATTTTACCTCGTCACAATGTATATATATATATATATAGTTGAATTAATATGAAATGCTGCATTATATTGAAACATCATATGCCCCTTCCAAAAATGAATAAGACAAAACCAACGAACTCAACAATTTATTAACAGGTGAGGTTAGAATTTTCTAATTTACTTCAATGAATCATCCACGCCATTATCATTGTTCCGTACAACTTCCGGATGTACAGTAATGAAAAATCAGTCAACTGGAAATTTGCTTTCTTGGTTATTTTGTGAAATATTTCATGTGAATATTGTTGACACCTGGCATACATAGGTGTCAGCATGTTGTTATTGTTCGAAGTGCTGGACATATTCCAGATAATTGCAGGTGGCAGCACTGGTTATGGCCAATTCATTTTGAATCCGAATCTAAATTCCCAATTTTTCGGGGCGGTCATTAGCAGAATAATATCCAATGGGTGCAGATGACGATTGACAGTGCAAAAAATCTTATTTGGTTAATAATAATATCGTCGGTAAATATATGAATTTATAGAATAACCTAAGACTGGTGCGGAATTATGAAAGAACGACCGAAAGATAATCGTGGAATACAGTTTCCATGGCAAAAGCCATAATAACGGTTATTGAGGGTGTATCCGGGTATGGGAAAACATTAGAAAATTATGGAGTGCCAGAAACCACCCTCAATCGTCGTGTGAGGAGGTACAAAGAAAATACAGATCTCGAGATGGACGTTGTTAAAGGTAAATATGACATTTTGACATGTACATTCTAGAACATGAATATAGAATTAATTCTTTCATACATAAAAAATCAGAATTCTATTCGTTTTTACATGAGTTAGTAGAGACAAATTATTGATCTCATAATTTCTCTGATGAGTTTCCTAACTTTAACAAATGTGTGTTATTTGATGCACAGGTCTTGTACGATTTACCCCACATCTACACGACAGCAAGAATCTAAGATTTGTAGGTATTTGTTGGAGATGGAAAGCAGACTACATGGATTGACATGTAAGAATTTGTGCATTTTTGCATTTGATTTAGCAGAGAAGAATAAATTTCCTCATTATTTTGCAAATGGCAAAGCTGGCCCTGACTGACGTCGACAATTTATGCCGATAAATCCTGAAGTATCACTGCGTAAACCCTAAGCCACGTCTGTAGCTAGAACTCGAAGATTTAACAAAGTCGCTGTGACAAATTTTTATAACTCATTAAAAAATGTGATTTAAAAAAACAATTTAAATGCAAATAGGATTTTTAATGTGGATGGATGTGAGATCACATCTGTACCGAACCATCAGAGTAAAGTTTTTGCCAGCAAAGACCAAAAACAAGTCGGGACACTGGCTGCAGCAGAGGGCAATTGGTGACATATCACGAGATACTTGGATTGGTGAAGAAAGCATTCGAACAAGCTGCAACATGTTCCTTAGCAACGACAGGGTTCAAGAAAACTTGAATTTGGCCACTGAAGAAAGATTATTTTCTTGATGAAACTTTCGTGGCATGCACACCATTCGTTCTGGAGATCCAAATGGTGGAGGCAACCGTGAATCCCATGCAACGGATTTTTCCAGTGATGCTTAATCACTTGCTTCTGGGGAAAATTGTGCTGAGGATGCTGATAAACTTACGCGAGACACATGCAGAGCACGCGATGGAACGACTTTTTCTGAATCAATTATAGAATGTTCCGCTCCATTAGAAGATCTCGGTGACTTGTATAGTCAACGGGGAAACGACATTGCCGCTGATGGAAAAAGAATTACAGAAGATCTGGTTCCAGGGCCAGACAAAAGAGAAGACGAATAATAATATATTCTGATGATAGTTCAGAGGACAGTTAACGGGAGACTTCGAGAGGATTGAAGCCTCCTGCTGTCCCCATGTCACCACCCACCCCTGTATTTTCAGGTACTGAAGGTGAAACATCACTTGCTCTTAATGACGAATTTACGGAGTGTCTGAGTCAGACCCTACGACAATAGTCAATCGAAAACGCGTCTGTGGAAGGTATTGAAGAGGTCGGAGATGATTCTGAATTTGATGAAGACACCATAAGAGTTGAGAATAACGTAAGGGTGGCAAGAGAAAAGATTGAGAGAATTAATGAAATTGAGGTTTGTTTCGACGAGCTGTGCGGATGACGTCGAAAAGGAAAATGATGAAGAGGTTGAAACGAAGTCCAAAGTTTTTCGGTGAGCCATGAAGGTGACGTGGGGCTGAAAATAGTAAAAAAAATTCAGCAGTCACGAACCCGGAAGAGACGTAGGATTAGGGACGGAGACAATAAGGAAGAGGAGGAGCCAGAACCTCAGAAGAGATTTCGCCTGAGGAATGAGCAGAAGACTAATCCACCTCAGAAACTAAGTTAGACTTTTTAACCCCTTCCGGGTTAAATCAGAATGCCTAATATCAGCCGGCAACGCCTACTGATATTAGGCCGATTCAAATTTCACAGCCCCGAACGTCTCAAATACCCAGAGCACCAGGTCAAGTAATGATCATGACGCGCTTTAGTTATCGCAATCAACTTGCTGATAACCAAGATAAAAAAAAATTATTGCACCGAAAACACTGAGCAAAAATGCAAGCGGAGCCAGAGGTGGGTCACGAAGAGGCAAGATCTATCCCAGATGTACAAGGAAGAAATCATCCCGAGCAACAGAAGACAAAACAAAAATAAAAAAAAAAGAAAATATTTCATGTATTTTTTGTAGTGAATGCTTTTACGACATTTCAGAAGATTGGATCCAATGTCAATCATGGCAGGGTTGGGCACAGTGTTTATCTGCTGCTATAGACGAAAATTCAGAGAATATCCAAAATCATTGTGATCCTGAAGACGATTTTTTGTTTCCACTTTGTTTTGTTTTTTTTCTTCAATTTCTATTGTTTTTTTCTGTTCGTTTTTATTTTGTCAAACAAATCAATAAAGTTCACGTTAACACTCCAGTTATTCAATCAGCAATTTTTAAAGATTTTTTTATCGATTCATTTTGCCTCAGCGGTCCATTTTACCCCGCGGTCCGTTTAGCCCCGTCAGTCCATTCTGCCCCATTCTCACCAAATCGTGATTCTTTTCGATTCCTGAATTTTGGCTTGAAATACCTAGAAATGTCATGAAACGTGAAGAAATGTTGTTTTTAAAAAATATCTGTATGTGTGTAGGTATGTATGTGCGCATGTGTGTTCGTATGTCCAGAACTATCCCGAGAATTATTCAGGCAAAGATGCTGAAATTCTGCCTGCTAATTGGTACTACTGAGAATCCAATTTGTGCCAAATTGGATACCAATCGACTTGGTTTTAACGCAGGAAAATGTAAGAAAATGTCTTTTTATAGAGGGAAAAATTTAATTGAAACAAATTACGTGATAAATGGTAGTGTCATTGGGAATGTGGTGGAATGCCGTGACCTAGGGGTTATTTTTTATGACAAGCTATCATTTTGTAACCACATTTTTCAGTATGTTGCCGCTTAGAGTGCCTCCACTGAACACCAGACTCCATGCGACTTTCTATTTACCGAAGGCTAGGAAAGACTGCGTATCACCAATACATTCTGCGTTCAAGGCAGTGAATGATTTTGTACAGTTTTGTCATGATAATGTTTCTATTGATATTTACGTTATAACGTCATCCTTCTCCACAATTGTAGATAGGGCTCACAAGTTCGTCAAATCCCGTAGAATGACCTAATAATCTTCTCTTTTATTTATTCTTCCGTTATGAATTTTGTACGTCTGCAGCTCAACAGCTTTATTGATTATGCAATCTGCCATCTTATCTCATACTCATGTTGCATATATGTATATATTTGTTTGTAAATAATGCTGTATAAAGCTTTGACCCTATAATTGACCTCGGCTATTGGGTCTTCAATGAATAAAATAACAAAATAACAAATAACAAATTTCAGCTCAGTGGGTTGAGCGGTTCCTGAGATATAGCGATTCCTCGAAAATCGTTTTTTTCCGATATCTCCTGACCCATTCGAGCGAGTCATTTTTTTTCCAAAATACCCGTCATGATCATACATATTGAATGGGATTGAAAGAAGATCATTACAACCTGAGCAATGTAGTTTTATTCTTGTTTTTTTTTTCATTTTTTCACTGAAACTACTTGTTCGCACGATAACTTTGCAAATAATCGAGCTAGAAACTTGAAACTTGGTGAGATTTTAGGTCTTATCGTAACAATATTTGAGATTCCAGATGAACGAAATTGGACCAGTTGTTTTGGAGATATTCAACTTTGTGTGTGACATTGTTTTGCTCAATATCTCAAAAGCTATCGGTCCGATTTCAATTTTTTCGTCAACATGTGCGTTTTGATGTCATCTATCTAGACGCAACAAAATATGGGTATCAACTCAGTGATATTTTTCGGGATATCGTTACTTTTGTATTTTTTTGGTCGGAATTCACTTTTCGCACTACTCTATGGGTAAAAGTCAGGGAAATCTTTCGAAAATTTGGCTTCTAGTTATGATTGTCAAGGAACATTTCTCTATCAAATTTTAGGCCGATATATTTCATAATTCTTGAGGTGGAGCAATTCACCCAAAACCCTTGAGAAAAAAAAATTAATGCATCTATATTTCACCGTTCATTTTCACATCAGGATAACTGAGAAAGCCATATAATATGAATATATGGTTTTTTCAAATTCACTTTATAGAAATGAGGGAAAATGAGATGAAGCTTAGATGACCGCCGCCACATCCTACCCATTTGACCACTACCGTGTCTTATATTTATTTATTCTATATTCATATTCATTTCAATTAATCGACTACGTATAATCTCTCTGGACATACGTATGAGCGCGGAGAGAAGAATATAAATGAAATTGAAAAAAATCAAAGAAAATTCGAATTTAAAGAGAAAAAAATTCTACTGCGCCCAGTCGGAATTCGAACTTAATCTCATAGTTCCGTGACAGATTCTCTCAAATGAGCTACCGTGAATCACGGAAATTTTCCCTCTCTACATTCGACTCACAACTCTTCTTACATCAGTATAATTTTATTAAATTTATGACGTAGAAAGAGAAAGTTCATATTTATTTAATATTTGTTTCCTTATCTTCCTCATGCAGTTTTGTCTGATGGTCCAATGTCAAAAATATTTTTTAAAAATGGCAGACCTTATTCCTTCATTTTTTGAAAACATATATTGGGATCTATGCGGAAGTCTACTACCAATGAAATTGGTAGAAATAAAAATAGGAGAAAAAAATACGTGGAGAGCAGTAGTCATATACAATTTGTCAAATGGGTTCTGTCGTGCTGCTTGTTTTTTGAACTATTCACATTTTTTACGGCAAACTATTTTATATTCAATTGTTGGTTTAACTACGTGGAGGTCAAGAGCAATTTTCATTGACAATTTCTTCAATTCTAATTTAGACCAGAGTGCTGTATTCAGGATCGCGTAATATCTTCATATTAGCTTTATTTTGACAATTTCGTCAATTATAATTCAGACCAATCAGAGTGCACCATTCGGGATAACGTGATACCTCCACATCAGTTTTGTTTTGATAAGTCCACAGTGGCCTATCAATTATTTTTCCTTCTTTTGACAGATATTCTCATTATTTTGGTGAAAAGTGTAAGGTAATCCCTAATACCGCACTCTGTTTGGCCAAAATCAGAAGTGAGGAAATTGACCTCCGAATACCCGTCGACCGTCAAAATTCATCGGATATTTCCCGAAAGCTTCGTTGTGAACAAATAAAGGTGTCAAGTATTGCAGGCGGGAAATTCCGAGCGCGCAGCACTAAGGATTTTTCTGCAAAACCCGATACACTCGTTTTATTGCAGAGAAGCTTGAGAGAAATATCCGATGAATCTGGAAGGTCTCAGGGTATGAGAATTGAAAACACATTTGAAAAAATCAAATTACCTATAACTTGTGAAGAAGGTCAGTTAGAGCGCTGAAATTTCAAGTGAAATCCTTCTCTATCAGGTGCAAAAATATATCAAAAGCTTGATGAAATCCCAGTGTTTAGAAATCGTAATTTGACTGGACGTAATCTCAAAGATCAATATGGACGTTCTGGGTTAACTTTTTCGGATACAGAAATTTCCTCGTCATTGAGGTGAAGGAATCAGTGTATTTGGAGAAATAGTAATAACGTTGAGGAATGCCTGAGGAAGCTACAATTTAGCGAAACGTCGTGTCTTTCGATAATTTACTCAACCTTGTTGTTATTTCTCCAAATACCCTGATTGCTTCACCTCAATTTATGAATATGGTGATGGTTGAAAAGATCAATTTTCTCTTCATATTCTCTTCTATAATTGCTCATTCCGTAGATGATTACTCATTAAAGTCCACCATAACAGTAATGTTGACGTTCCTAGTTCCGCATGGTTAAATCCACGGAAATAGATTACAAGACTGATATTATAATTCTCGAAATTCAGAACACAAGGAGTTTTCTCTATCATTGTTACCTGAATGCCCAGCTGTATTATTCTTCAAACTTATCTGTGTATCTATTTACCTTAGCCTCCGCAAAACTTTTTCAAGTACTTATTGCTTTAATTTCTGGAAAGTTTGACTGTTCTGCTTTTCATTCTCTCGATGATGAAAGCTTTTAAATCGGTATAGAGGATCTTCTTAAAAAATCTTTTGGTAAAAAACCTTCACCACGGAAATGTTTTGTTTGGTTTCTACTGAAAAGTCCAAATTTTTGACAAATACAAGTAAATAAAAAAAAACGCCAAGCTAGAAATGTCGAATGAATATGTACTGTGCACATGCAGATTTCTATAAGAAAATTAGTTCTCAATAGAAAAACGATTTAAAAAAATTTCCCATGAAATAAAAAATCAGTAGCAGCAGGACCAACATCCTTGCTGCGGATCAGAAGTCGGCGGATCAGCTTGATATAATCAATGAGTTGAGAAACTCCGCGGCAGGAATGTTGGTCCTACTTCTACTGCTTTTTTCAACTCATTCATTTTTTCACGCTGAAAAAAATACCATTATTGATACCATTATCTGAAAGGAGTTGAATGTGGAGAAATCTGATTTGTCTTGTCAATATCGACGGTTCATTTATTTATTGACTGAAAAAGATTAACTTATCAAGTGATTCCAACAAAGGAGAGTCTTCATTCAATTCAATCAGCACCATCCATTGACATCAATTAACATTCACGTTATCATAAAGCTTTTATATTTTCCACCCAAGGTGCAACATGTACCATTCCTTAGCAGACATGTTAGAAAATCATCTGTGCACCTCGGGCGGCGAAAACATGATTTTCCGTACTCAGTGCAGGACATACTTCCGTTTCACACCAAAGGATTATTTTCTGTGCCCTGAGGAATTCGTCCAGAGGACGCAAAAGCAATATGGATAACTTTTAAAAGATACATGAATTGTATTCGCAGTCGATATCTTCCTGTTACGTAACTCGTATCTGGGATTATTCATAATGAGCCGAAATAGTATATTAAATTTATCACATTTTATGAATAAGTTTGATACCGTTCAACTACGAATGTTAAATAATTTTTACCATTTTCTTCAGAATCCTCCACCTACTGAACAAACGCACCCTAGAGCAGCTGAAGAACACATGGTGGACGAACAATCCTGAAAGAAAGCCCTGCGAAAAAGAGGACGACCAGAGTGAAGGAATCTCCATTCAGAACATCGGAGGTGTTTTCATCGTCATCTTTGTGGGTATCGCACTAGCTTGCATTACCCTGGCTTTCGAATACTGGTGGTATCGTCACCGCCCCAAGAAACTGCACCAAAAGCGTAACATACCAAACAAATCCTCACGTATCACTGGACCAATTAGATTGACCTTGGAACCAGCAAGGGCCAATCTCCAAGTTCCTGATTTTCGCTGTAGATTCTGAACCAATTAGATTTTCTCTCTCTATTTTTCACTATAACCTGATAGAAAGGTTTTTAGTATTATTTATTTATTTATTGAGCTTTATGACTATGTCCTGGGGTAACAGTCACCTCCTAAAGACAACATAGGTATTTTTCAAAGTTTCAACCTATTAACAGAGACAGAGTATAAATTCAGGGAATTAACAAAATTATCAAATTATATTGTGGTATAATCGAATGTGAATGAGATTGCTTAGATTATCGATACATGTGTCGAAAAAGAATAATTCAAATGGAAAGATAAAATTATTGATTAGGAAATGACATGTGGTAATAGTGATCACGTCCCAAAGAATACTGAGAAATCGGAGAATCTAATAATGTATTATCAATGAAAAAAATTACTGAAAGAAACAAGAAAGACCAAAAAAACAAAAATTCCTGACAACAGTCGGTATGACAGAGTATGACAGCTAAAACTTAGAGTGATCTTTGCGATGTATACATGGTGTAGACGAGTCAGCTCTTACATTTTCCAGCAAGTACTTAAATGAAAGAGTACAGGCTCGTTTTTAATGGCTGGCTTGAATGAAGTGACCGAGAACTGATCACAGGGGTTACAGAGGCACTCTTGACTTTTAAGAATCGTATCCACTCCGCAAGTCAGGTTTTCACAAGTATATCTATTCAGTTCTCTACAATTGATCAAATCTACCATTCTACCGGTGTCGAGTTATAAGCAGTCATAGAAAACTTCAACTAAAATGATCCATGGTACTAAGACGCCATGGTGAGCTTCTCGATCTCCTATTTTTCACTCCCTATGAAAGCATACAGGCAATATTTTCTCGAGTTTCATAACCTTTTACTTGACTATTGTTGTATGGGGGTTGCGAGTTTATGAGGCAGCACTTTTCCATTTTATTCTGCCCTTTTTTTTATTTTTGTTTGAATTCATTTCGGAGTAGTCTAAAGCACATTTTGAAATGAAAATATCATGGTCATTTCTCATCCATGTAGATAAAACGATTTTTAAAAATTTATGACCGTCGCATATTAGGAATAAACTATGATATTTATTATATATCTACGTAGATGGTTTGACTTCACTTTATTTACAAATTATTCGTGACCATCATTGGTAATTAGAAAATTTGTGCGTCACAAGATCCTCATTTTTTAGTGACATAATGCCATCTGAAAAATAGTCATTTGCAACTCTACCGGCGGCTGCACGGACACTACTAGAAAATGGCGAAAGGTAAGAAAACGCTCTATCGTAAAGTGAGATGGAGATTTTCATGCTCTCAAGTTGTGTCACGGAGTATGATGTTTTTTCACAGTCGTTATATTATATGTTGTGACGAGGCAGAATTCTATTTATTATTATTTTTTACAGTTTTTTGCCCAATACACTCTGCCCCCTAAAAGTATAAATTCCCGCCACCGTTGGTTACCTGATCTCCCCGAATATTTCCCCTCGCTCCCCTTTGTCCTTTCCCCTGGAATCAGCGATGAGACTACCCAAAGGAAGTCAGCATCACCGGCCCATGGATTCGCCCAACGAGAGCCCGTACCCCCTGGAGAAATATGCATGAACGCCCCTTGCAAACCATGGTCATAGGCAGCCCACCAGCATACGCTCGTGTCTGACACCCCCGAGCCCCCCCGCAGAGATCTTAGTCAGGTGACTACTAATCACGAACCGTCACGATCCGCGGAAATGAAGGAATACGGAGAAATGCGAAGATATTACGAAGAAGAGAAGAGAAGACATTCGAAGAAGAAGGCTCACTCGTCACCCAACTGCCCCGAGAGTAACCCCGTGCCCCGATAATATTATAATAGAGAAGCCCCGCCAATTGTGAATTGACTAGGATAAGTGAAAAGAGGAAATTATTGCTGTGAGGATCATCTTCCCAAATTGGATCAGAATCCCGGAATCCTGAGGTGGAACGAAGGCTCCAGTGAAGTTGGAAACTGCTGGAGATATCGAAGAGTGGACCGCAGCCCGAGTTGTACCCACGTGGTCGTGAGTACGAGTTACCTTTTCCATTTTCCCATTATTCCCGTGTTCCCCAAATATTTACCCCCAACGGTGAGCCTACACTTTATTTTGAATATTCCCCTTAGTGTTCAGTCGAATTAATTATTACTTCATTGATATCATTTACAATTCCCTAGACACGACTAGCTTCTTCCCTTTTGTTTTGCTTAGAATCATCCCTCTTTTTACGTGTACAAAAGTTGCCGGGCCTCCCCCACTCCCCTAGATCTCATGAAAAGGCCTCATTAACGTCTCTTGACGATCTAATTTGTAATTAAAGGAAATACAGTTGATTTTCTTAGAATATCCCTTATTTGTCCTCTTTCTTTAATGGCCCACATCCTCATTTAAGGAATTATTGTTAATATAAATTAAGGAAAAGGTCACAATGTCGATAGTAGGCTGTGAGCTACTTTTGTGGCAAGTATGAGGTCACATAGTTCATTCAAATAAGATTTGAATTAGAAATAATAGCCATCAGGCAGAAATTTTTGTATGGGTGTGTTGGATACCTCCGAAAATCTTCTGAAGTTACAAGTCCTCAACTCTTATAGAAAGGTAAAAAAAATCAAAACCGCTGAAAAAAATGGGTTTCTTTACTTGTAACTCGAAAATTAGAATATATACAGGATGTTCCATTTTAATTATTATCTTCTAAGGAGGGGAAGTGACAAAAATATATACGAGACAACTGTTGTAGGATTTTAAGAAGGATATTCGATGCATGTATCATTTTGAGCTTGTAAGCGGTAAGCACAATAGTATCTTATGTCATAAGGCGATAAAAGTATTATCTGGCGAATGTGAGTTTATAATCCAAGCCGAAGGTGAGGATTATAATTGGTGATGCCGTCGAGACTACACGACAATTTTTTTGGATAGATCATCACTGCCTGAAAAAACATGAAAAGTTTTGGAATTGTCGCAATCCCGAAAGACATTGGATCGGTGCATCTCGTCACGATTTTTTGAGCACTTATTTTGCCTAGATCTCGACTTTTTCGTTTTTTTTCTGTTTTATCGTAACGAAATAACGAAAATATTTTTTTATGTATCTTTGTACTTTGGGAATTTCTGGCCATCGGTTTATGACATGTCAGAACATGGTAGTTAATGCTGTCAAGTACATCCAAATCCAAATTTCAGTCGTGCTAGCTTTTGATAATTTCCTCCTAACTTTGTGATTGTTTTTTTAACAGAATGACGGTCAAATATCGTGACTGTGCTTGATCAGATCATAAGCCCAGAAATTATTCTCCGAATAGCACTCCACCTACGAAATTCCATGTGCTGCGCACAACGCGTTCAGGAAATATTCGATAAATTTGAAAGTCTCGGGGAATAACTACTCAAACTTTTTTCGCGCAATTATTGACTTTCAAGAATCAATGAACGAGCAAGATACGAAAAATAATCCCTACACGGAGAAAAAAATCCGCGAAAAATTCATGTGTTGACCACCAGAAACGAGGCACAACTGAATTAGACCGAAATTATTTCAGGGGAGCACCGGAAAAATTTTGAATCCGCGCGAGAATTATTCATATGACCCCATGAATTTCTAAAATAAACCACCAGAAAATTTCTACGACGGCAGGGGAAGAATTCTCCGATAGCATATGAAAATTTGTGCGTCCTTGTATTTTCTCTTTCATTCCGGCATTTGGTATAAGATGACTCAAGAAATTTCCCTACGCCAACATTGACTTTTTCCTGTACCCTTCCAGAATTATTCCTATGCTTAACTAGGAATGCCTCGGCCAGGGTGGGGAGATGGGCATTTTTTTTTGTTTCAAAAGATTGCATCATCGCTAATTTCTACCACTCAGAGTTAGTCCAGGTTATTGAGAAGTTATCGAGATATACTGCGGAAAAAATCCGCGGAATTGCGTAATGAATCGAATGGCTTTTGATTTATTTTTCCAAGTGAAATAGTTATCGAGATATCAATATTTGTTTATCGGAGCGCACTGTGAAATCACCGTATCTCTGTCTCAGTCGCTCTGATGGCCAGTGTGTCTCCTCTCTGTACCCTTGATCAAAGGAACAGAAAGACGATACCAGCTCCTGCGTGTGACAGAGACGCGCTGCATTTTACAGTGGGGGAGGGGAGGGTTCCATCGCCTTAATTTTTCCAATTTGTTTGACGCTTCTATGCGCATGCATATAGATAGCACCCCCTCTCCCGCATCCAAAGCACTTAAAAATTGAGGAAATATTGTTTTTCTTATTTTATCGACAATTTATACCCAGCAGGGTAATTTTCAAACATTCTCAATTTACTCAAATTTATTTGAAAATACTTGCCGCATGTATATTGGTATTGTCCTCGTCCCTCTTCCCGCGTTCCTAGTACCAAAACACTGGGGAAAAACATTTTTTTGTTTAACAAATTACGTCATTGTAAAATCATTCTCTATAGCGTAATTTTCGAACCTTTTTCATTATTAAAAAGTCATTTCACATTTCGACAACAGCATTTTCGGTATTAGCGTATTAAACGCGTTCACCCTAGAATTTGTCATGTACTCTCCTTGATTTTTTTGGGGGGTACGTGATATATTCCCGAGGTTTCGTTCCTCAATTGTGGGGCAGCTGCAGAATTTATCTCAAAATTTCATCACCAAAATTCTAATATTTTTCTCGGCGTGTAGTGCACTGATTATAAGAGCTTAATGGGAGATAAAAATAGTTGTTTCGTGTGAAATATGCGGAGAGGGTACACTGTACGCGTTTCTCGTATGTATCGACGTTTTGTAACGCTGTTTCCGTTCACTCCGACTTCCATTGTCCGCCGAGTTTAGTTCTTACATTCGTTCCTCGTCAGGAAACGTGTCTGGGCAAGTAACCTTCCGACTTTCGTTCCTAATGGGAAACATTCTACGAGTATCGTTCCGACTTTCGTTCCTAGCTGTAACGTTCCAAGACTTTTGTTTCCAGTTGCATTCCTGGCGAGAAAAGTCCCACGACTTTCGTTCCTAGCTGTAACATTCCAAGACTTTTGTTCCCAGTTGCATTCCTTGCGAGAAAAGTCCCACGACTTTCGTTTTGACTTTCGTTTTGGGCTGAAACGTGTAGGGACTTTTATTCCAGGTTTCATTCTGGGCGTATCGTTCCATGACTTTCATACCGTGTTTCGCTCCTAACATGGAATGTTATAGTTTCGTTTCGTTCCTTGCCTCTGGAACGAAATCGAAACTGGAATGCGTTCCAAGTCCCTGGTTTGTAACCTCCCAGATCATTAATCAAGCATTTCCATAACATCACTACATCAAACAGAAATCGTTGAAGAAAATACCACTTCAATCAACAGGCCTCCCAGTTTCTGAGAAGATCCAAACGTGACGGCATATGCTTCATGTTGAGACATTGGAAGAAATTCAATGAGAACTGTTGCAGCTGACAATCAGCAATAATTCTCTCATAATGGAGGAACTGGAGGGGCAGGAGGAAATCATCAAAGCAGAATGAAATGAAATTCTGAATTTGCAGGTTAGACTAGTCGAATATCTACCTCAAGATCCTCAGTTTATCACGGAGAACACATTCCTGGAAGCATCTTCAACAGTGAGACATTGTGTCAAGGTCATTTATCAATTGAGAGGTCAAATCAAGAAAAGAGAGGATGAGAGCACATCAACAAATTTATCCCCCTCAAGTCAACTGGAACGCATTTGGATACGCCCGTTGGACGGTCATCCATCGCAATGGAAGGAGTCTTGTGTGTGGGTCAAGTCTGGTACTTGTGGGTCAAGATACATTAATGCCCCCGATGCAGGAATTAGTATGCCTCAAGGGTTGCCTTCGAGGCCGATCAATAGCTCTCATCGCCATATTCACAGTGACATCTGATAATTAGGAGAAACTGTGGCCGTAACTCACCAAAAGAATTATCAACATTTTTCGAGGCTTCCGCGAGAGGAGTCAACTCTGGCGCTAATCTCAACTCTGAAGCTGATCTCGACATCACCATCAGTAATAGAGTGCAATACAGGAGCTACAGGATTGAGAGTTATGTATCAGCTTCCATTTATCATTAATAG